TAGGCTTATGAAACATATCCCTTCAGGAATGTCTGTTTTTGAGAGTATGTCATTCACAAATTCTCTGAAGAATTGGGTGTAAGGCTTTTGTGAATCCATAGACAGCCTATCCTCCATATTATTCTACCCAGGCTTCGTGCTCTGGACACTCATACAGAGCACATTATCATGGTCTTTCGAGACTGAAGGGTGCCTAAGAAGAGTTGCCTCTTGTCACATTCCAACCTTGTGCCTAATTTGGGGAAATATTGGCCAGAATGATGTCATTCTTCTCCATTTTCAGCATATTTTTTGTGGAAGAGTCTAGCCATGCTGGAACTCTGCTGCCCACTAATGGGACAGGTCTGGAGTGGCAGCTGGGGAAAAGTTGCTTTCATTAAGTGTTATTCATGACAGAAAACACTGTCTGTCAATAGAGAGGGCATATTTCACGGAATTAGGGATTTCCCCAGCTGAACCAGTGCAGCGGCTTTCCCTTAGCTAGGGTGATTTAAGGTATTTTGGACTACCACTCAAATCAGCCCCATGCAACATGGTCAAGAGTCAGGTATAATAGGAAGAAGAGCCCAAGTGAAGAAACACTTATCAGAGAGAACACTATTGCATGCCAAGGTTTCAAGACCCAGCTCAAATAAAACAATACAGGCTAACCAATGATTCTAATGTAGATGTAGGCAAAGTGATACAGGCAAAGTGATACAGGCCTGCAGGGTCCAAATATGGCTACAAGACTGCTGCCTCCCTTGGCTGCTCTCTGTAATTTTTAAAAATGTTTTTTTCAGGAAATCCCTTTATGTTCCTTATGTTTCCCTCCTTCTGCATCTCTGCTTCCCACACTCCCAGCTTTTAAAAATGTGTTTTAAAATGCTGTTGGAGGGATCAAGTAGGATTTTTTTTAAAAGTAAGTACTGTATTTAGTATTTTTGTGAATAGAGATAGAGTAAACCCTCCAAGGTCCTGGTGCAGATGTGAATACCCCCCCCCCACATTTATACACGCCTCTTCTAATGGCTCAGAACACACACATTTAGCAGGATGGAACCAAAGTACAGGCAGGAATAGATGCTGGAAAGAAGTATTCCGAAATAACAAGGCAGCATGATTGCAGTGTTTTACAAAAAATGATGCGGCCAAGAAATCTAGGCTGATGTTAACTCTTTCATAGTTTAACACATGCCTCTTTCAACTTTTTTACTATATTTGGCAGAGGGATCATTTCTCCCCTTGCCCACTACTGTGAGGTCTGGTGAAAGCACTTAGAATGGAGAAAAATGGAGAAGTGGCTGGGATGGGCAAATTTTTCATTCTTCCCCCTCCTTCTGCTGTAAAGGACAAGGTTGAATGTATTCTTCTCCTCCGCCCTCTTCTCTTGTAGACAGCAAAGAAGATAGCAAAATTATAACTTATAATCTTATTAGAGGCACAGTTACTTGGAAGTCGCAGCTCACCATTTCCCTGTTTTATCACGTATAGGCAGTTGACTAGGTATCAAACCATTTTATATCATTTGACATGAAATGATATTTCATTCCTTTGTATTATTTTGTATCTTGAACCTACTAGCTCTGTAGTACAGTACCTCCTACTATTTTTACTCAGAAAAATGTCTGGTCATTGTATGTGAACACTCCAGATATGAGAATCTAAGCTACCGTATTTCTGTTTTCAGAGATATGAGCTTGGATGACGTTACCTGATGATAGGCCAGAGGTGAAAGTGTGTGGCTTCTTCTGATTCTCAGCCGGACTCATTCATCACAGAGTTAAATGCTGAGCAAGTTCCTGGTTTTAATCTTGCCTGGGCACTGCAATTTGAGTCCATGGTTGCCTGTTGTGGGGGAGGGGAAGTAGTAGGAGTGATTTGTTCCTTACTGTAAATAGAAATAAATTGAAACTTAAATCTTTCTGCACTACTGTACTATAACTACAAGTCTGCAAGGAAGAGGCACAAAATCACGAAAACCACCCTTTCAGCATTGCACCTAGGTTACTAAAATTCAAGCATTCTTTGTGTTAGACATATTAACATTCATTTTTGTTTGTCCTCTTCGGTGACCACTTGTCTACTGTGGAAGAGCAGCAAGGAAAAGTCAGCTTGTCCAGCATAATGGTGCCAATACAAGAACCTGGAAAGCAATCAGATAAGGATGAAGCACAGTCGGTTAACAGAACCCTTATCGCTCCCAATTGCCTTAGATACACGGTCATGCGCTTTCAGTGCCATGTGGTCAAAATTCTGTCCTCATGCAAACTGAGGAGTTTGCCTGATTTACATAACAGATTTAAAGTGCAATAATTATATATATATATATAATCTGAATTTTCTTTTCTTTTTCTTAATGTGCAGTGAGATAAGAGCAGATGCAAAACAGGAGGCAAGGAGAAACCACGCCATTCAAAAGTTGGATGGTAAGACCATTGAAATATCTTTCTGGAGCAAATTCCATTGACAGAGATTTATAGCAAAGCAGAGAAGAGTCTGTTCTCTTTTATTCTCTATTAATCATATGCTTCTAGTAGAGAGATAGTGCCCCTTTGGCCTTCAAAGATCTGTTCCCTCCATGGGGATAAACGGGAAAGCAATCACACTGAAACTCTCTGCCACAAATCTCTAAATCAAGAGGAAAATCATTGTTTCAAATAAACAAAAACATGTGGTGTTTAAAACTGCAAAATGTATGTGTGTGTCCACCTCCTAAAATAGAGATGGGAATCATTGATAATTTTACAGCAGAATGTCCAAAACAATGGATGGACAGTTGATCAAGTAGGAGGCCAGGCCATTTGTTCTGTTTCAGGCTGTATGGCAGCTGACTCCTGACAGGGTGCATTGCCTTACATCAGTATGTCAAAACTTACTGATGTGGAGGGAGCTTTCCTGACTCATAACCCACAGGTGTGTGACCCATTTATGTGCTAAAAGGTTTCTTTCCTTGAGAGTCCCACAGACCTGTGGGAGATGGCATATATTTGACCAAGCATGTCTCCTCTACAACATAACTTACGCTCTGTGCCTTAGGATTTGCAGTGCACCTTTTTCTCTAAATACCTCCAAAAGGTACACAAGTTGGCAACTAAAGCCACACAAAGGTGACAGAATCACCTGGACCAAATGAGCACTACAGCACTTCTTCCACTCATGTGTTAAGTGTACTTGGGATTTAAAACCTGAATAGGAGAAAGGGAAGAAGCATCTTCTGTGGAGACACATCAGCAACAGAATATATGGGCTCTAGAGGATCAACTGGTATCACAGCATAGAAAAGTTATTTTTGGACTACTGTAGTACAAGATGACTTTTTGGGCCCAAAAAACATGCCTCCAAGTGGGGGGGTCGTCTTGTACGCCGGGTGCACTGAATGACCTGGGGCCACACTGGCCGGGGAGGAAGGCAGGCAGGCAGTCTGGATGGATGGAGGGAAGCACAGCCTGCCATGCCTGAGCGGCCAGAGCTTGCCGCCGAGCTGCCCGCCGCCCCGCGCCGCTGAGCCAGCCATGTGCTCGCTCGCCCACCACCTGTCCGTTTCCCTCTTCCTCCTCCTCCTGCCGCCGCCTGCGCAGCCTCTTCCGCTCTTCCTCGCCCTCTCACTGCCATGCCTGAACCACCGGTGGGCTGCCCCGCGCCGCTGAGCCAGCCGTGCACTCGCCCCCCCACCTGCCCGTTTCCCCTCTTCCTCCTCCTCCTTTGGGGGGGTCGTCTTATACGGCCGGTCACCTTGTGCGTCGGCAAATGTGGTATATCCCATTTTGTCAATTCAGATGTTGGAACAAACATGTGATTTCAAGATGGGGTAAATAACCACCCATTCTGCACAATCACTAGTTGCTTGTGTCTCTGTGCCAATCACAGTTGCTTGGTATCCTGCCCCAGCTTTCACTCAGGGAATAAAGGTAGGGTATAAATAAGACATAGGGAATATTTGTGGGTTTTTTCTGGACTTCCAGAATCTGCTGGCCATACTGCCTTTGAAATTCTGGAACTTACAGTTCAAAGAATAAACTCATTTTGTCTTTGTAATAAAGAATATATGCAATAAAGAATATGTGTTATAATAAACACTGGATGGTGATGGGTTGTGAGACAATACTTTTGTCTAATTTGTAGGCTTCCAAGAGGCACTTGGTTGCCCATTGTAGGAAAGAACATGCTGGATGAAATGGGCCTTTAGTTTGCTTCTGCAGGGATTCGCTTACATTTTTCGTTGTATAACAAGTCATAGGTAGCTTTTAATTCCCCTTCTGGTAAACGAGTCTCTAACACCAATCACTTGGACTGGAAAAAAAAGCTGAACAAAGACTCTTGTATGTTAAAATTTTTACAAATATGACTTGCTTTGGTAATGTATCTCCAACACCCTTAGGGATGGTAATCCACACAGAGCAGAGAAACAAAGACCCACAAAAGGTCACTGGACACAAATGCATGCACAGGAAGTGGGAAAGGGAACCTGTGTGTATAGGTACCTGGTTAAACAAACAACCCATATTCACCTGCAAAAATCCTGCCTTAATTGACAGGGATTCCTTGCTGGCTATGCCCACTAAGTGACAGTGACCTGTCCATAGCATGATAGATGGGACAGTGAGATGGTAGCTCATTCCTGTCTCCAGACCCTGACCATCTATCTTTCAGCCCCAAGAGACAGGATTTTACTTGTATCATGCAGGGGAAAAGTGTGGATGAACTCATGGTTCAAAGAGCTGTGGCACACTGGTGCTGGATACCATCTAGAGGTCATAATGTTGTAGGCAAGTTCTGTGGACCTGACAATCTTACTCTATTTTGAAAAGTCAGATAAAAGAAGCCAAGACATTCCACTGAAAACGTGTATGAGGTGCCTTGAAACAACACTGTGTATTGCCATAATCTGTCAACCATCATATCCTAAGCACTGAGTGCTTCACAACAGCACCCAGTGCTTAGGATATGCTTGTTCCATTCCCATAAATATATGAAGATATTTGCACAAATATTGAAGACAAAAGAACATCAGAACTGGGTAGCATTAGCAATTTTTTATTTTCCTTTTTTTGTTGCATAGGAAATGCTGTACTTGCTTCCAGTAATCGTATTGTAATGTGAGAGGGTGGTAGCACTAATGGTTGAATACAAGTGTTAAACTAATCCACACCAGCTCAAAAAACCTGCAGAGATTTAGTTGAATAAGAATGGATGCCCACAGTGATTCTCAACCAATTGCAAATTTTCACAGAACACAGTAAAACTAAAATGGTAACTAAGAGAGTCAATACAAGGATACTAGAGGCACAAGAGACCCGATTCATAAAAAAAAGAGGACACATGGGTATTAACACAGGTTCAGTGCTTTGTTTGTTTGCAGCAGATCAGTAGATTTTTGAAGTACTTCTCCACTGGAAGTGGTTTGTGATTACACCAAATTGGGGAACCCCCCCCCAGCTCTCTTAGAGTTCAGAAATGTCTAATTGTGCAAAGAAGCCAACAGCAGTGGGTATTCCCACTAACACATTTTGCAAGTCTGCAAGACTGCAGTTTTCCTGCTTTTGAACAGTAGCAACCATAGTGAAGGTCTGGGTGAGACTGCTCAGCCACATTGCTCTGTTCAGGATTTACGGTCTCCAAGACCACACTGAAAAGGAACATCTTCTGTACATCACATTGCCAATAGTGTTTCCCCCAGCTTTTTCAGGTATGCTGTTTCCCTCATATAGATCATGATAGCTAAAGTTCTTTCTTTTCTCTTTCGAAAAGGAACAAGTTCACTGACTTGAGATTTGGCTGTCCCAGGAACTATGAACTATCAATTGAAATCATGAACTTCAAAGGGTTTCAATCAGACTATTTTGCCCTAGACTAGGCTATCGAGGGAAGCCTCCCTGCCCTCAGATGCGCAAAATCAAGCATGAAATGCTCTGGACAAGAGAATGCCACTTTGTTCAGCAGGGCTGTAAACATCTCTTTTCTATGCAAATTGCACCACAAGGATGGCCTTGGCAAATAATGACTATGAAACATTCTCTTCTTAGTGTCATACGATGCACAGCACTATGATGTATGTATAATCATATGTAGTGCTCTGCTGAATATGAACTCAGGTCAAATGATTATAACAACATGCTGAAGTTACACTTCTCTTTGAAAGAGGAAAAAAAGTTCTAGGTTTTGGATAAAACACACACACACACCAAAAACCTATGTTAATGCCTAGTGACCATCCATGAATCGGGCCAAAATTTATACAGGGTTTTCAAGGAAAAAAAAGAAGAAACAAAATAAAATGCAATAGTTCATGAAACTAAACAGCCACATGAGGTTGGATTTTTAAAGGTTCTTAAAGTTTGTTTTAGTAAGAGGAGGTCTGATGTGAAGAAGGGCCAAGCATGGGTACCTGGTGTAAACACTGTCCATTAAGAAACCATTTTCGGTATCAGTGCCACATTTGAGAATTGTCCCTTACATTGAAAAACGACGTCTTGCTGTTCTTCTGAGATAAGCTCTTTGAGTTCTTATGGATGCTTTGAGCAAAAAAGAAAATACCACCAGACAGGGATTTTTGATTTCAAACCCCATGCCTGCCCTCAGGAATAAGGAATGCTCCCCCAACAAATAATACTGAATTTTAAGTTAAATGTATATTTCCAAAATACTGAAAACACCCAAAATCAAGGAAAAAAACAACAACAGAAATTGTGTTCTCAGTGAAATATCTTTAAACCTATCTGACAAGAACCAAGTCAGAAAAAAAAGACTAACATAACTTTGAGTAATATTCATACAGCTCACTAAGCATTATGGAATAGCATGCATTAATATTGTACGGTTATTTTACATCACCTATATCAGAAGGTTCTGACAGACAGCGAAGGCTACTGGTGTAGAAAAATCTTACTTCAGAAGAGCAATATAATACAGATTTCACAGGCACTACATTTTTAATATATCAGGTATTATGCTGGTTTTCTTAATATTTCTTTCTGTCCTAAAGCTGGCATTTATAATAATGACCAAAAAGGCAAGGATTGAAGTAAACGGAAACTAGATACCAAAGTTGATATATTTCTTCTTTTCAGATTTATATTAGTGCATAGTTCTCATGCAGATAAACACTGCTATGCATTTACATTGTTGGAAAGCAGAGTGAATTGAGCCCAAGTTGTCACATTTTTGTAAATCATTTTGCCAGCCTATAATAGCACCATGTAATGGATTTGCATTAAACATTAAATTGATTTCAGAATTGGTGACACAGTATTCACTACAGTTAAGTGCTATGGAATAGCTTCAATGTTACCTGCAATATATCAAAGCAATTTTCATCCCACTACTTTTTTTATTGGAAAAAATAAAAGGAAAATGTACTCCATACTAATTAGACTATTGCACAGCCTTGGACTTGATGATGACAGAGCCAGGTTTTTACTGTCAAACAGTAACACATGCATTGACTTCATGACAAAATTGGCTTTGTAAGCTTGATTTAATGGAAACCTTGCCTGGTAGGCAGAGTTCACTTCATGAGACCTCCCCCAATAGACCTCATGAAATATGAGTTTCTTTTAGGTGCTCTCCTTTTATTTCCATGAAAGTTGTGGTTTGCAATGTTTGTTCTATGGAGGTGTTCTACAGAAGTAAAATAGAAATTAAAAGAAGGAAAAAGGAACAGAAAAAGAGAGAAAGATATTTCCAGAGACACAATGCATATTATGTGACATTCTTTAAAAAATACACAAGGGGAAAAACTGTTTAGTGTTATGTATCTGGCTTTTTTATCTTTTGTTTGTATTTATGTGTATGCATGTTAACACTGTTACTACAAAGCTGCAAAATATATAGAACAGAAAAGAAACAGTGGAAGAAAACTAGGTAGAGGGATGTTGCATATTCCCGTGGGCTGACTGAATGCTGTGGAGCTTAAAATTTTTTTTTTCTATTCCTTTACTCTTCAACTTTAAAGAGAAACGGGGAGAGATCACAATACAGACAAGGTATACTCATGGCTGACATTGGCCTATCATTTTAAAAAATATATATAAAATAAGCGAATAAATACAGTATTGCAGGGGTGTGCAGAATGACAACAAGCGGGAGTCCTATTTTGAAAAGGGATCAAGAGAGTTAAAATTTAAAAAAAAAATGCCGGTAGAGTCATTTCAACTGGAGTATTGATACCTCTGCTATGTGCGAGGAGAAGGAAGGGAGCAGAAGTTGGTGTTGTGCGTCTGGCAGTTTTCGAAGAAAGAATCAAGAAGAAAACTTGTTTGCTCAAAGAACAGATTTTTTTCAAATGGGCAGCGGATGTGTGAACTGGATTCTGATGTGTGACCCAAGAATATTTCTCTATTGTAGACTGCACACCCCTTGCACTTGTCTCCCCTCAGATCTCCAACTCTCTGTTCTACTTCGAGGAATAAAACTTGGTTTGTTCTCCACACCTGAACAGATCTGATCTGCTATGTTTCTGCATGACAATAAGATGAACCAAACTTTAATTTAGTGTCTTTAATACTTTACATCCCCTGTTGGTAAACACCCTTGACCGCCTACCTAACGTTTAAAGCCTTTAAAACAATTTGTTTTATGAGATTCTGATCAGAATTCCCTAACTTTACCATCTTCAAACTTAATATGATAAAACACCTTCAAAAATACAGCATATCTGTAATGTCCATTTACAATGGTTCTTCAGTAGCCTATACTTCTCAAGCATAGGAATATGCTATACTATTGAGAGAAGAAAAAAAAATAACTGTATTTAAATACATACAAAAAGGAAACAGGAAAGTTTTAAACTTAAATCCAGTTCCCAAAGGGAAAAAAAAAGCAATTCTATGAATGCTGCCTTTTTGACGAACAATCAGAAATTCCACTAAGCTAATTTGACAGAAATTTTTCCTCATTTAAACAACATTACAAAAGTCCTGCATTATAAAATAGGGTAGAATAAATCAGTATAATCAATAAAACTATACAACATACAAATTACATCGCTTCTGAGTGGGCAGCTTTGATTCTCTCTTTTTGCGGCCATGACTACAACATGCTCACTAAAAACAACTATCCGCCCAAACTATTGCTTAGTTTGCTTTGTTTTATTTTTTTAAAAAAGGGTGCAATTTTGTTGTATATACAACCAATTTACTTGTAATACCTTGGCTTATAGCAAGGTTCTGACAAAATGTTTGTCTAGGCTTTTTTTCCCTTCACTGTGAAGCACTGAAAGCTGCTAATTTTTTTATTTTTTATTTTTTAGTGCACATATGTCTTAATAAGGTAATGCCCTGCTAAGTGCTATAGGGAAGGCAAAAGATGCTGGCTAGTGGATGTGATACCATAATACTAACAATCACACAATACAACAGAGCAAATGACTACTCAACCACTTATTTGACATATATGAAAATCCAAAACATTTTTTTTTCTTAAATAGAGAATAACCAGTAAACAATTTTCAGAACTTGGAAGTTTAAAAACGTGCATATAAAAATGGGCATTATATACTTTTTATTGAATGTGGTTTGATTGCAATCTGCTAATAAAAATGGGTGTGGGATCTGAAGAAAAAGGGAGTTTTTTTTTTTAAGGCTTGCTTGTGAAAGGAACAGTTGTAAAACAAAAATTGCTTGAAGCAGGGTTCAGCTTAGTGCTTCACAGTTTGACTGCTTCTCTAAGAGGAGCCCTTCCTGCATGTGCATTCAAAAATCACAACAACAACAACAACAACAAAGAAAAAGTACGAAGACAAACACCTAAAACACACTGCATCAAGTGCAGCACCGACTTTGGTCAAATAAAAAAAAAAGTCAAAGAAAAATCAAGAATTGCTAAGCTTTTCTTCTTTCTATATGATATAAGCAGGTATTGCATATTTTCATATATCTGGGAAAAATTTAAAACAAAACAAAAGGAAGACTCCAAATAAAATGTAAAATGCAGCAACATCAAAAATACTGATAATCTAGCATCTACAGATCTTAGAATAGCACTGCCACTGACCTTACAGGACAAGAAAACACTACCCTATCTGTGGAACGACTAACATTCTACTGAATTCTAAGATGCTGAAACTGACAATGGCTGACATAAAAGTCACATTTACAAAAAAAGTGTCTCCAAATGCTTGACTAGGGGGGGAAAAAAACCCTTTCAATATAGGAACATGTGCAACAATTCCACAAATAATCGCTATCCAGGGCAAGGCACATTGATATGGAATTTTTTTTTTGTTTCGTGCAAATCAAGAAAACAAAACAAAAAAAATTGGTTTTAGGGAAAAGATGAGGAGCAAAGTGTCTTCCCAAGAAATTCAGTTTACTTGATTGTATAGGACAGTAGTAGAAACCCTTCTGAAGGGCTGAACAAACATAGTTTAAAGGCAAGTGCCTGGATTAGGGATTACAATATTGTGTCTTAATGCACTCTACTTTACCCTACATTAACTATATAAAAATTAGTTACTAACACTAGAACATGCAGAGACTTTCTCTGATTAGCTAGACTTGCCAACCAGAACGTATATATATGTATAATATAGGAAACCTTCTTAAAGTTGCATGGGAAGCAAAGGGGTGCTCCGCTGTCTGATCGGAAAAAAAAATCACTTGCATTATTTTGCTGTTTTTTTTCCTTTTTTTTTCTTTTCTTCCTTTCTTTTTTTTTTCCTTTTGTACATAAGATACAGGACATTTGGGGTCCAAACTTTTTGTTTTGCACAAACGTCCTTGCTTTGAACTGGCAAAAGATGCAGAATCAGCCTTTTGCTTCTGAATTGTCTTTACAGTCCAGAAAAAAAAGAAAAAAGCCAGTTCAGGGACACAAAAGTGTTTTACTTTCTGGACATTTCTCTCTTATTATCTTGACAGCCACAATCCAATCCAGAGCGAGACACGCTTAAAGCCATTTGCTCCAATGGACTTCAGAGCACACCCTACTTCCACACTGGGTTGTGGCCACGATATTTTTGCAAAGTGATATACCCTATATTGCCGGAAACAGACGATTTGTCAGAATTGGCATAATCTATTATAGTGACTTTTAGTTTATAAAATTAACAGATATTATCATTTAATTTTAATTATGTGCTTTGATAACAGAAAATGATTAATTAGCATTAATGTAGATAACATATTGTGGTAAAAGCACCATTAAATTTTGTAGGTTTTTTTTTAATTTCCTTCAGTTTTTCAAGGGATACAAGTTTAACAATAAAAAACATAAAAAGCAAAAATAGCTCCCCCTTTTTTTTCTTGCAAGGCTGTTTTTTACCCCAATAATTTAGAGTCCTGGGGTGGTAGGACTTGGAAAACAAAAATAGAATTTTCAACAATCTCTATCTTACAAAGATATTTAGCTATCCAATGAAATTGCACTTTTCTCAATTCAAAATTCGATTGTTTTGATTGATTCCTGTCAGTTTCTATCAAAACAGACCAACTTCCCCATTTCCATGTGAATTTTATGTCATTGTTGAAAATCATCAAAAATGCTTCATGTAAGTGCAGCATTTAAAACCCTTTTTTTTCTTTTTATGTGAACAGCAGTAGGTTGATATTTCATATTTAGGTATAACTTGAATGAAAATCAACCTCTTGATTATGGTCTTATTATTAATGTCCAATATCTAACTGCTGACTGTAAAATGAAAAAAAAAACCTGATATGTTTCAGAAAAACATGCCCCAGGTCTGTCCTGTAAATTTCATATTGCAGATTCAGCTACTATAAAAGTTATCATTTATGTGTGTTCCTCATGATCTCTCAAGAAGTCTCACACCTGTACGGGAAAAAAAATCAGTGAAAATACTGTAAAACAGTTAGGCGCCATATGGAAAGTGTTATAATAGTTAAGTCAGTAAGCAGCCAGCAGGCTAGCTCTACTACCCAGTGTCCCTAATGCTTACACTACCAATTGAAACACTTCAAAAAGTATGAAGCCCAAACTTTTCCAGCACCATATGAGAAATTACATCGGTCACTAAGGTGTTCTTTAAAAAAAACAATCCCCTCCCTCCCAACATTGTTATGGCTATTGTTGATCAACCATAACTTCTGCCGTTTCTGAATGTAAGCAGTTGTTTGCTGTCAATTTCTGTTCGTCTTCCCTTCCACAGATGCGAAGTAACTGCACTGCACTGCTGCTGCTGCTGCTTCCATGTTACAGATTTGGGAAGGGGTCAGGTGGTCGGTCTGGTGGGTGGTGGGAAGCTGTGACTTTTATCCCAGGTACCAAGACTGCAAAAAAGGAAATAAGAAGGAAAAGGCAAGAATGTTATCAAATGTGATGACTCCAGCAGATATGTTCATACACATATGGGAAATAAATACCTGTAAAATCTTTTTAAACTAAGAACGTATAGCCTGTGTTCTGTTCAATGAGCTCATGGGACCAAAAGAGCTTTCCTTCTTCCCATTTCTTCCTCACAACAACTCTGTGAGGTAGGGGAGTCTGGAAGGAAGAGACTAATTGGCTTAAGATCACCCGGTAGGTTCACAGTTCATGGGGATTACAAACTGGATTTCCCGTTTTTCAGCCCAGCAGTATAACCACACTGCTTCTGAGTTTAAATGTGTGATCTCTGAATCATTCCTTCATTGTCTGTGGTGTCAATGTGTCAGACCAGTTAAGTCATTTGCCATCATGCCTCTCACCTCCAGTGTTTCACTGTAAAGATGACTGGAAACTGAACAGGAAATGTACAAATCATTATGCAGATATTACAAAGAGAATATGATTTTCTGTACGGGCACATAACTGCTCATAAATCCAGCACTGTCCATGAATTGTCCCTTAAGTAACAACCCTATACAAAAGTCAAAAAGAAGTGTAGACTATTGAGAAGAGATGATAGATGAGCAGTACAAGACGCTTAGTGGTATTTCAATCACTTTTTAAAAAAGTTCAAAGTCCATGCGGCAAATATTGAAAGACGCACATTCCTGAAAATTATTAAGAAAATCTCAGATTAAAAGATGTTAGGACTGTGGCTGAACAGAGTTTATTTATAACATTCCCCACAAAAAGCAACACGTGCGTATGTAGCCAAATATCACTGGGTTTTCTTGGGAGCTTTACCAAGACTAGGAAAAGGATGCACATTTTTCTTTCGATTCTCCCTCGCTTCAGGATATATTTCCCAGAAAGATTTACATAACTTCCCTGCTTTCTTAAATTTACAATAAGCCCAGATTGCTATAAAATGGCGAAAGGCTAAGATTTGGGTCAAGTGTTCAAGCTGACACATCAAAGCTGCCTAAACTACCCTGTGTGTGGTGGATCTTCTGTACTGTGGTTTTTAATTCTGGTATAGTTATCTCCATCACCTTAAAAGTTTCCACATTGCTGCTGTTTTTCACTTGTTATCCTCTATGCTTTGAAAGAGACTGTGAAGGTGGGGGCTGCCTATGATGCCTGTAGTGTGCAATAATAGGGATGCGGCCTGTTTCTCTAAGGTTTTTTTAAAACTTTTTAAAAAATGAACCCCACTGTCTGCTGCCACCAAGAATATAATAGTCACGAGGCAATTGCCATAGAAAAAGTACTGCTTCGTCTCTCCCCCTCCACCCCATCGTGTCTTCAATAAAGCTATGTTTAGATTTCACGTTCGTCTTCAGCAAAGGGTATAAGCTTTCTTCTAAAGTAAAAAAGCCAGTCATACTATTCCACAAAATATAAGACAATGCACAGGGTTGTATATCAGGAGTTACTGGAAAAGGAAAATTATTTTACTGTCAATAGTTTCACATTCAGAGAACGGAGAAGTTATCCATTTTTTTTAAAAAAAAGAGTACAATTCACAGAATCTGTCAGCCAGCATGGGTCCAGCAGGGAATTCTGGAAGCTGTATTTCAAATAAGTAACTTTTCTAAGCTCCCTTCAGAATCAGTTCTGCATCAAAATGTGTGCCTGGCAATTTCTCACTTTGAATCCTGACAGTGAAAACTGCCTAGACCAGGTTTTGCTGCTTTTTAGTGAATAAGTGATGTTAGATACCATTGAAAAAGGCAGACTTCAGCCATCCTTCCACTATCTTTCAAAGTCTTTCCACGTGAAAGCCATCAACATTCATACTGGAAACACATTTTCATTTTATTTACCTACGTATTTTTTCATTAGTCTTTGGACCAAACGTGATTCTATAAGTACAATGCTCCAAGTATGGTTCTCTAATGTACAAGATTAAGTATACAGTTAAAAAAAGAGATAGAACTGAGAATGTAATGCAGTCTGGCATGAAAAGGTAGCAGAAAATAAGTATGACTCAAAAATTAATCAATCGCATAAAAGAGCTAAGACCAACTAATTACAGGAAAAATGAACACCTCAAAAGCACTATCAGCAGACACTGACAACAAAATTATGTTTACATGGCTTTGAAGTCTTAGGAGACTGAAAATATCTTTGCCTGGCATATTAAGACATATGAGGTAAATCTTGCTTGGGAGAGCATTCCACAAATGTGGGGACCCTTGAGATAACTGGGACGTTGGGCCAAAATATTTCAGCTCCAGGAACCAGAATATGTGAACTGTGCAGAAGTTCTTTTTGCCAGTAAAATGTGTGCCTAGTGGAATCTGGCACTGGGATGGACATGGTGGGCTTACTTTTGCAGGAAGCTCTATATGGGATGCACTAGTGTGCCCTACTCTGTATGGGCTGTCATCATGCAGAATTACAATTCTTGATCCGTGTCTGCGAATGGATGCAATACAGTGGTGCCTCAACTTACGACCACAATCCATTCCAGAAGATGGATGTAACTTGAAATGGTCGTAAGTCGAAGCACCATTTCCCACAGGAATGCATTGAAATGCAATTAATCCATTCCGGCCAAAGGGGAAAAAAACCACAAAAAAATCACTGGAAGACTCATTGGAAACGTGATTAATCCCTTCTGAGGTGGGGGAGGAGAAAGCACTCAGAAGCAGAAGCGAGGCAGTCCCAAGCCTCCTCTGACACAAGCCTCCTCGGACACACACTCTCTAACTGCTGGGGCAAAAGAGCTACAAAGAAGCAGCCTCGTTGCCACCTACAGTTAGCAATTTGAATTTCGCGCCTTTTCCCCCTACCTTTTTCTGTTTGTAAGTGGAAGCTCCGGTCGCAAGTAGAAGCCAAATTTTGCAGCCAGAGCTGGTCGTAACTCGAAATGGTCGTAAGTAGGGACATTCGTAAGCTGAGGCACCACTGTATCTGAATAACCCTTGGCACCCTGCCTTTTTTTTAATATGGCCATTATGTATCACACTGGCATACTTGCCTTCTTGCATGATCTTCCAGTGACCTATGGAGGATCTCCTTAATTTATCACAACAACAACCAACTTGTCAGATGGGTTCTGATATAAATGCCTCACTCCTGTTAGGAACAATATCCAACCCTGGATGCCTCTTGATGGAACAGGTGAATCCAGGAAGGGGGTACTGTCTCCTCTCTCTTGCAGCACTTTGTGTATCCCAGAGGCCTGCTATAGAAGGCCTAGAAGCCTTCCAGGGCAGGTGCTCAGCAGCTCTGAGGGCTCCAGGGGACTCATGATGTTGCTCAGTGTTAAACTGTATTTAACACTGCCTACCACAAATGAGGACCCTCTAGCTTTCACTAGTTTCCCACCGGTAACTAGCTACTATAACCAGCCTCTGCCTTTTTTTGGGGTGGGTGGGAATAATGGCACTTCAGCAATAACAAAATATCACACTCCTACACCGTTGGATTTTATTATCAATTTATTCTGATCTGCACAGATAATAATCACCAGTGAATAACAGTGATGAAATTCAGGATTGTTATTGGTCCCATTATTTCCCAGACAAAATACATGCTCACTAAAATAACCCTTATTATTATTTAATTTGAATATTATAAAGCAAAATAATAATTTTTCTGTCTTTTAAGATTTCATGATTTTAGCTCTGGAAGTATAATCAGGTAACCAGTTAAATAAAGATTGCTTTGGTGAAAATTAAGATTCGAAGAGAAAAACAATGCATTCAAATGTTCATTTTTTTAAAATCACACCAGCTAATGTATTGGTTTCTTACAATAGCATGCTTTTTGCCATCTTTGCCTCCAGATTTTCCAAGACAGATGTCTTGAAACCTTTACTCAAATGATATATCTGAAAGTTTGAGAGCCTTATTTTGTCGCAGTTGCTGTTCACCAGATTAGTATGGACTGACTTTGATAAAATTATATTACTGAGTAAAGTAAGCAAATAAGTCTATAGAATTGTACTGAAGATACTGTTATCATCAGATGAGAGTTTACTACTAATTAACTGGTTCAAACACTTTATCTCAAACTAATTATAATTAGCTTGTTATATTTTCATTAAAGTTACCCTGTATCCCTGAAAATAAGGCCTAACTTGAAAATAAGCCCTAGTATGATTTTTCAGGATGCTTGCAATATAAGCCTTACCCCAAAAATAAGCCCCAGTTAAATGAAACACTACCCTCCACCATTGTGCAGCAACCAGATGAAGACATGACTATATTTCAATAAATGTAGATTGTTGCACATGAAAAAATAAAATAAAACATCCCTTGAAAATAAGCCCTAATGTGTTTTTTGGAGCAGAAATTAATATAAGACCCTGTCTTATTTTTGGGGAAACACAGAGTTCTTAACTAAATGTTCCTCCAGAAATGCCTACGGTTTCCTGTACAAGTCCAAAGGTGCTGGGATAATATCTTACATCTTAGTGCCGAACATGACTATAATAAGGCAGGCCAGCAGCTAAGTTTAGAATCCGGGTTCAAAATAGTTGCCACAAGAAAGCCAGTGTGTTAAAACGAAGAGAAAGACCGTTTGTTCAGTTCTTAGACAAACCTCAATCAACCCTGGGCCTATCAAGCGGCAAAATAGCAAAGCCAATGCAACATGACTTTGAGTCCAATAGCATGGCTATCACAGAAACCTTGAATATTTCACATTGCTATTTCATTAGCTTTTTTTTTCAGGCTTGCTTGGAAAGCCGCACAAGGGGTTTGATTTAAACGGTTTGGACCTGGAGGTGCTCTGCATTACTTAGGGAGCCAGGCCATAAAAAGTTTTAAATGACCTGAAAGAATGTAACTGGTGTACATTCCCCCCCCTTTTTTTAATAAGGCTCAGTACACAGTTTAGGCAGCAGGGGGTGCACTATTCCAGGCCACTTTTTTCCCCTTTGCTACTCACTGCATAAGTTTAAAAGAAAAGAAAAAACCCCACACACCAAACATCCCAGACCAAACCTGCA